GGAACTATGGCCCCCTCATGACTCGTGGACTCCAACTCCCAGAATTCCTGAGCCAGCATGGCTCAGCTTGGAAACCTCTCCCTTTCCCCTCAGCATGGCTGGCTCAGGAATTCTGGGAGTTGAAGTCCACCAGTCATAAGAGAGCCCAGGTTACCTACTCCTGGTCTAGTCAGAGCTGAAGAAGCTTCTGGGATGAGAAGCGAAACATCTTCAAAGAAAAACAAGAAAGTCCAGTTGCCTCCTGAAAAAAAGCACCTCTGGGACCGTAAGGGAGGAGAAAAGAGGGAACTGGGACAGGAAGTGGAAACCTAATCAGGCTTCTTCCACACTGCAATGATTTCTGGTGAGTGAAACTCACCTCCTGTTTGTACCTGCTTGTTGCGGCAATGTCCACAAGAAAAAAATTGGTTATAGATTTACAGCCGTCAACGTGTCCCAATTTTTGGAGATATCTCTAATAACATTTGGAACATTATATTTACTCACACACTAATCAGTTATCCACTCACGTAAACTAGGGAGTGACCCTAACATTTTGAGAACATGTATTTTCCTAATAGGGATGTTATTGTTTACTATTAATGTCAGTACTATTTTAATTTAATATTTTATTTAATATATTGTAAAAAGTGATGTCTATTGCTGGTCTATGACCATAATAAAGTTACTATTATTAAATTGCAACTGCTTGATTTCACAGATAACCTGTTCCTCCCCAAGTCACCCTGCAAACTCATTTTACTACCCCAAGCTTAAGACTCTCCCACCGATTGCCCGGGTGTCCATGGCCAAACTCAAAAGAAAGAAATTGGGCTTCCTCTTCTCTCAACCAAACGTCACAACCACAGATAACGAAGTGGAGGATTCCGTCTCAGGTAAGCGCTTTATTCCTGGATAAAGAGAAAGTTTTGTTTTAATTACTCAGCCCTGGAAGAAATGCCTACCCTTGAAGGGCAAACGCAACGTGTTTTACCCATCAACCACCCTCAAAGCTTCTCTTTTGGGAGTACAGGATGAAATGAAGGAAACGGGAGTGGGGAATTTAAAGTTAAGGGAAGAAATCCAGTTTCTTCCAGTTTTGGTCACCACGATGCAAAAAAGATGTTGAGACTCTACAAAGAGTGCAGAGAAGAGCAACAAAGATGATTAGGGGACTGGAGGCTAAAACATATGAGGAACGGTTGCTGGAATTGGGTATGTCTAGTTTAACGAAGAGAAGGACGAGGGGGGACATGATAGCAGTCTCCCAGTATCTCAGGGGCTGCCCCAAAGAAGAGGGAGTCAAGCTATTCTCCAAAGCACCCGAAGGCAGGACAAGAAGCAACAGATGAAAACTGATCAAGGAGAGAAGCAACCTGGAACTAAGGAGAAACTTCCTGACAGCGGGAACAATTAACCAGTGGAACCACCTGCCTCCAGAAGCGGTGAATGCTCCAACACTGGAAGTTTTTAAGAAGAGACTGGACAGCCATTTGTCCAAAATGGTGTAGGGTTACCTGCCTGAGCAGGGGGTTGGACTTGATGACCTCCAAGGTCCCTTCCAACTTTATTATTATTATTATTATTATTATTATTATTATTATTATTATTATTATTATTATTATTTGAGTAATTTGTAAATCTTTCAATAGTTCCTTTGTTTTGACAGTCCTTGGACTGGCAGAAGTTCTGAATGCTCCAACACTGGAAGTTTTTAAGAAGAGATTGGACAACCATTTATCTGAAATAGTTCAGGACCTCCTGCTTCAGCAGGGGGCTGGACTAGAAGACCTCCAAGGTCCCTTCCAACTCTGTTATTCAGTGGAAGGATTTGCCTCCAGAATTTGTGGGTGCTCCAACACTGGAGGTTTTTAAGAAGAGACTGGACAACCACTTGTCTGGAATAGTACACCATTTCAGACAAATGGCTGTCCAATCTCTTAAAAACTTCCAGTGTTGGAGCGTTCACCACTTCTGGAGGCAGGTTGTTCCACTGGTCAATTGTCCTCACTGTCAGGAAGTTTCTCCTTAGTTCTAGGTTGCTTCTCTCCTTGATTAGTTTCCATCCATTGCTTCTTGTCCTGCCTTCAGGCGCTTTGGAGAATAGCTTGACTCCCTCTTCTTTGGGGCAGCCCCTGAGAGATTGGAACACTGCTATCCTGTCCCCCCTGGTCCTTCTTTTCTCTACACTAGACATACCCAATTCCAGCAACCGTTCCTTATATCTTTTAGCCTCCAGTCCCCTGATCACCTTCGTTGCTCTTCTCTGCACTCTGTAGTTGTGTATTTAAAAAACAACAACTTGAAACCGCTTCTGTCCTGCAGAAACACCTTTGGATTGTGAGACCTCCCTGTGGTCTTCGTGGGGTCTTTGCCGAGGCACCTGTGGAAATTTAGGAACGAAAAGGCGGACTCGGTACATAGTCCTTCAGCCGGCCAACAACGGAAGCCCTTGCCCGGATCTGAGTGAAGAAATGCATTGTGAACCAGATAATTGTGTCTGAAACCATTCCTTTGGACAATTGTTTACCTCGTGTAATTTGGGGGATATGTAAGGTATCTCTGCGTTGATATTTCTTTATAGCTCAAGAGCTATCTATCCATCTAGCCATCCATCAATCCATAGATAGATGTACTTAGGTATACGGGCTTTCTACACATTTATTGTGAACTCCTACAATGCCACCTAGCGGTCGGAACTAATAGTAATAGTAGTAACTCTAATAGTGAACTTAAGAGTTACTGACATCTGCAGGGAGAAAAAAGGCAGGCAAGATTCTTTGCATTTCTGCTACTTCTGGAATGTATTTAATGCATCTGAGGAATAATGAGTTGGTTTCCACTGAGAATTAAACATGGGGGATCAACATGAAGGGAAAAAAACCACCACGTCTTTCTCAAGACTACGAGAAAAAGCCGGGAATTTTGTTGGTTTGTTTGTAATTCTAGAAATTTTTAAGCTATCGTTTGAAAACTCTTGGGGCGGCTTTTGTGAAAGTTGGCAAGCTTTATCTTTTATGCAGATTTCTGTGAATTTTGTCCTGTTTTGGGAAGAGCTAAGAAAGAGAAGTGTAAGA